TATAACTCAGAAACTGTTCAACATTTCTTTGGTTGTTTAGCCTTGATGAAGCTCTATCCATCAGGCCCACCAATCAGTTGCCCCCTGACCCCCAATTTATCTGAAAAAGGGGTATTTGGACATACAAAAATGCTTATAACTCAGAAACTGTTCAACATAGGAGCTTCAGGTTTCTTTTGTTGTTTAGCTCTGATGAAGCTCTATCCATCAGGCCCACCAATCATTGCCCCCCCACCCCAATTTATCTAAAAAAAGGGGTGTCTGGACATACAAAAATGCTTATAACTCAGAAACTGTTCAACATTTCTTTGGTTGTTTAGCCTTGATGAAGCTCTATCCATCAGGCCCACCAATCAGTTGCCCCCYGACCCCCAATTTATCTGAAAAAGGGGTGTCTGGACATACAAAAAGGCTTATAACTCAGAAACTGTTCAACATAGGAGCTTCAGGTTTCTTTTGTTGTTTAGCTCAGATGAAGCTCTATCCATCAGGCCCACCAATCAGTGTCCCCCACCCCCTCAGACCCCCAATTTATCTGAAAAAGGGGTATCTGGACTTACAAAAATGGCTATAGCTCAAAAACCATTAAACATAGGAGCTTCAGATTTTCGTTGGTTGTTTAGCTCTGATGAGGGGCTATCCATCAGGTCAATCAGTGCCCGCCCCATCCCGGACCCCCAATTTCTCTGAAAAAGGGGTATCTGGACTTACAAAAATGGCTATATCTCAAAAACTATTAAACATAGGAGCTTCAGATTTTCATTGGTTGTTTAGCTCTGATGAGGGGCTATCCATCAGGTCAACCAATGCCCCCCACCCCCCACCCCAGGAAAAAAAGTCCCCCACCTAAACCACTACAATTTTGGGATGCACCTAGTAGCATGACATTTATTAGGAATAAAGACTTCTGAGTTCTGGTGCATTTCTGTGTGCAGGGTCATTATTATGTTACTATGCGGTGTGTAGTTTCTAGTCAAAAATGTTCACACTTCTTGGCTTTCTGTATCTTTGTTATTTTATGTACCACTAATGTGTAATAATAATTAATAAATATATTTTGTTTGAATATTTTGTGAAATAGCTTATGTTTTGGGGTTTGTGTGTCTGTTTGTGTCGCAGGAGAAAGACGCAGCAGAGGATGAGGAAGAGGACGCCGTCACCACTGCAACCAAGGTAAACAGGAACTTTACAACCCCGTAGACGGAACATAAACTGTCTGCTTCAAAACGCTCAGTTAGAATAAGGTCACCTTAAAGAAATGCACCAGTCATCTTTTTAAACACGTGACCACACCAGCATCACACTCGATCATCTAAAGGTCTTAAAACGACATGAGAACCACTGATTCCCATCTRTACAGTCAGACTGTGTTTCCTGAGCACGTTAGATCAGCCGATGTGAACCTGGAGGTTCTGCTGAAGCTGCAGTGTTTGTCTGTAAACACACCAGTTATCTCCCTCAAATTTATCTGTGGAAACTTGAACCATTTCTTCACATGGTGCATGTTTGTTTCGTCATTCTTACTAAAGGACAAACGTGTCACACGAGAGAAATGAGGTCAGGATGGTCATTTTACTGTTTAGTTCTTTTATAAACTGGGTTCGAGTTTCAACGCTTGCTGTGTGAAGAGAAATAAATGGATACAAAGGAAGTAACCAGTGCAGGCAGTAYGGCTGCGGAGGCYATCTTGAATTGAGTTGGCTCTAAAACTTWATCAGTTGTATTAACGTGCATGATTACATTCTATAGTTTTCTTTAAAGTATGTCCATTGTCGGCTAGTGATGTTCAAAACCACCKATTTATTTTTCAATTCTGATACAGGATAAAACTCAGGCGATACTGATACTTTGTGTAAATACACCTAATGTGTCTGGTAAATCTAAAAAAGGTAGTAACTTTTAAATCACAGCTTCATAAAGAATACAAGACATCAGAGTAATTTATTTGTTTATTTTAAACTCAGAAGTGTATTGATGTAGTGTACTCATTTACAATACAGCCAAGCTAAAAAACCAGAGGACACAATCATACAATRTGTAAAAATTAGGGATGCACGATATATCGGCATTAACATKGGTATCGGCCGATACTGGTCATTTTTTAGAATATCGGTATCAGTACAATATTTAAAAATGGACCGATATTAACGGCCGATATTGATTTCCCACTTTGTAGCTTTGTGTTTTTGTTTTAAGAGGGGAGATGGTTGGTTGAGCAGCATCTGTTTGATCATGATAGTGATATTGACGCTGCGCAGCCAGGAATAACTGAAGTASAGCCATGTCAGAGGTCTGGTCATTTATTTACGGTATCAAAAAAAGACCCAAGTGTGTTTGTGCATATATGTATAATATAATTTGTGTGTTTGTGTAAGATTGGTAAATATCAGTTATTGGCCATAACAGCAATAATTATATCAGCTATCGGCTGAAATTTTCATATCGGTCGATACCTCGTGAAGATGGTGCTTTAAACAATGAAAAATGCTGTAAAATATTCAAACTATTAAAATAAATTGCATAATTATCAAGAACTACTATAAATGTAAAAACTTACAAGTTAACGTAAAAATATTTAAAACATCTACAGCCTGAGTGCTGCTGCACTTAGGCATTACCCAGGTGGAGGAAAAAGTAGTTCCCTCTAACCACATATGATATGGGTTTAATGGTTTACCTACTTTCCATTTTGTTCCTGTTAATTATATGCAGTTATACCTGAAATGACTGAGTATCAGAGTATCAGTATTTTGATTTTAGCATCGATTCCAGAGCATGAAGTTCTGGTATCGATATTTCAGTATCGATCCGCACATCACAAGTGTCTGCAAAGAGRAGTGTCTGGCACACACTGATGGGTTATACAAAATAACCACCTACACCTTTAAATATTAAAGAACACACTGTAATACTGATACTATTTAGCACTGCAACAATATTGTAGTGTCTTTGAGGAGCTGTAGTATCAGATATCAGGTCCAAAGCAGCATAAACCTTATAGCACATGCAAAGGGAACCAACCGATTGTGCACCCCAACAATCACCATTAAACATTGGTTACACTTTACCTGACTGCTCCAGAAATGAAGACAAGCTTCAACAAAACAGAACCACAAGTTCAAACATAGCTGCAGCTTAAAGAGTTGAACCACATTAGAAGGAAGCACCCATCTTTGTGGTAATCTGAGTTGAYAGGTCTGCATGCWAATTCATAACCATTAGGGATGAAAYGTTTGTTACTGACATTCGTTTAAAGCAGCACAAAACACAGTTTGCCTCATTCTAAAACTATTACATTGGTATTATGTTTTAGAAGAATATTAATCTGTTAAATCTGTGGTTGAAAGGTTTATGTTTTAATCATCAAAGGACATATACTGTTWGTACTTAGATCACCATGCTTGTGAAATCTGTATTAATCATAGTGGCTTCATGATGTGTGGTTTGTATGTGCATCCAGTGCTGTAGTCTACGTGATACGCGGTTTACGCCGTATACCTACTTTTAAAATTTCTTGGATTTGCRTATAACCACTTAAAATAATCAAAGACACCAAACCAATGTGCAGCTTACGTCAATGCATTATTCCTAAAAAAGACAGGTGATGTGGCAGTGTTCTACKTAACCAGTAGAAATAAGGTGAAACACGCATGGTGTCAACACGATCGCAGGTGCGTGCACTCTTGTGCCCTGATCAATGCATCAACTCTGCAAAGCTACACACAGTGTTCATACCTACTCTGCTATCTGAGTCAAATAGTTAAAATGAGGTCTTTGAAATGATTCAGAYTGAACAGAARCAACTGCAGACAGGCTGGAACCAGGTTCTGTGCTAGCAAGTAGTAATTTGCAAAACTTATAAACATAACTTGATAATAACAGATTAAATTTAATGCATCAGTCTACCTACCCTATGTGTTAACTCACTGATTAGTTGTGTAAAAAAGTTTCAAATACTTGATATTTGGCAATTTGGAAAGGACAAAGTTTTGTGTTTGTCACTGTTTTATTATCAAATGTTCTTACTGAGACACCAAATGGTAGGCCAGAATTACTTTGAAGCTGTATGGAAGTCTTTTTCCAYGGCCTTTCTGAACTCCTCCCATGCCCGAGTTTTTGTCTCAGCAACCACCTGAGCCGCAATCCGCTTGGACTGCCGATACCTATCGGCTGCTTCCGGAGTCCCACAGGCCAAAAAAAAAAAAAAGACCCAATAGTACTCCTTCTGCCTGACAACATCCCTCACCACTGGTGTCCACCAGCGGGTTCGAGGGTTGCCACCACGACAGGCACCGACAACCTTATGGCCACAGCCCAGGTACGCCGCCTTGACAATGGAGGCACAGAACATGGCCCACTCGGACTCAATGTCCCCCACCTCMCTCGGAACGTGTTCGAAGTTCTCCCGGAGGTGTGAGTTGAAGCTCCGTCTAACAGGAGACTCTGCCAGATGTTCCCAGCAGACCCTCACTGTACATTAGGGTCTGCCAAGTCTGACCGGCAATCCTCCCCCACCACCGGAGCCGTGAATGCAAATGTATGGTATAAGTCAAGGTTGCGACTCGAGAGTAGGAAGTGAGGGTCACAATGTACCCRCCTTCAAAAACTAGTCTCCAGCCCTGTTTGCATCACTCTGTTCATAAGAGACAGCCATGCTGACAAAAGGTCTTTACCCCAACCTGTAATTTTACATAAATTCTGCTTCAAGTGTAAAGTGAATCAGGCAAAGCCTCYAACCCCAGCCTGATTGACCTGCAATGACCGACATGTTTCTCTGCTGTTTGTGAGTGTGGGATGGCAGGTCCGGAAAAGGGAAGGAAGTGCAGCATTCTTCTGAGGACCTGTGCCTTTTAGACTGGAACAATCCACAGAGGAAAAACAAGGCTGAAAATAACCACCGGCTGCTTGGAAGCTGTGGACAGCTRTAAATCTGATACACTTTGGTGTTTTATGAAGTTTTCATTTTGAGATTGGGGTTGTTTTGGGCCTGCAGCACCAATTTTGACCTGTCACCTTTGCAGTAGAGGATAGATTGTCCAAAACATTATCYATAACAGGTAATACACTAACTGTTCATAAMCTTTCCACAGAMGCTCTGAACTATTTATCCATCAAAAGCCAAGACCAAGTATTATTTTTTCCCCCTTTTTTTCCCCAGTTTATAAATCTTTCATAAAAAATGATCATCAGTGCTTCAGCTGCTGTGTAAGACGTTATTCCTGAAAGAATTTGGTTTAATTAAAGGCTGTATTGTTCTGCCAGGCGTGGAGCTGGAGRTAATGATCCCCCTCACAGCGAGCTTGGCTTACCTTCTGGGTCGGAGAGATTACTGATCGCTGAGCAGCTTTGAATCTGCAGCAAACAGTGAATAGGTAGTTAAACTTTAGCTACTGACACATACACACACTTTGTGTTGACTTCCATACATTTTCTGGTCATTTTTACAGCCTAACTATGACCCCCTACCCTAAACCTAACCAGCACAGTACATAACGGACCCTCATCTAAACTCAGTTCATACCTTAGCCCTAAACCTAACCCCTGACCCACAACTGGGGTTTTTCTATTGTGTGGACCAGGCAAATATCCACAGGACAAAATGTCCTCATAATGTCAAAAAATATCCCCACACAGCATGACAAAGACATGCACGCACAAACAGAAGGCATCTCTAATTTCATTTTTTTAAAAGAACCTTCAGTTTTATTCAGAAGGGGAAAAAAAGAACTGGAATGAAGAACGACAGCCAGAGCAAATAGTGCTGAAATACTTCAGATTATAATTTGTCAATATTTATTTCACGATAACATCTTGCAGCTGGTTTGCCCACAGCCGTTCGTGTTGCAATGACAGGTGAAGGGAGAATATTTGTTTTTGACATTCATCAGAATCTTTCACAGCCTGTTTACGTGTTGGACAAAAAAAAAGGCAGCTCTGCTAAAGGTTTGTTTAACCCAAACTTTCTGTAGCCTAATCTGGTGTTGCATCTTATTTAAGTGGTTCCTGTTTGGTTCATACCCAACGAGACGTTTTGCTTGTTGCAGCTAGTGTTGTAGTCAAGACCACCTAACTCAAGACCAGAGTTTATAGAGACCGAGACAAGACCAAGACTTTTAGGGCCTGGACCAAGTCATGACCGAGAGAGACCGAGTCAAGACCAAAACCAGAAAAACAAAAACACGGAAACTACAGTAGTTCCCTAAAACATRCAATATTCTGTACACAGGTAACTTACATATAGCTAATATGAACTAAATCTTTGTGTGAGGGCCGGCTAAAGACGTATGTTTCAGAGACAGACTGCTAACGTTAACTAGCTAGCTTTGCTARCATCTCTTACACGTAGCTGACCTTTCTTTGTACTTCTTAAGTGACAATAAAAGTTTGACGTAGTCCTCACAGTGAACTGCAGAATTTACAAGTCGTTGTACGCTTTCTCCTGGTTGCTKTTTTACAAATATATTCTTTACRATTTATGTATCTGAATTGTATTACTGAAGAKTTTGCAGACATTTCCTTCTCGCAGGCAACCACTGCTCACTTTCTTGGAGTGCCGGGTGCGAGTGAGAGGGGGGTGGGGACGGGTGACAGCCGTAACAGAAATACAGAATTAGCAACGAGTCTCGCTTGGATTTGAATCGGTACGTTTTACATCCAATGAAAACAAGCATGTTAACAAATAAATTGGACAACATTCTGGCAATTAAGTGATGACTGGTCTTGAAATAAAATCCCGAATTCTCAATGTCTGAGACCGAGAKAAGACCGAGTACCAATATGGGCTAAATCCACGACAARACCATCAAAAAGTGGCCTTAAGACCGGCCTCGAGTACTAAAACCTGATTTTTATTGTTTACTGTATTCAGGATTTTGAAAAAAAAAATCAAAGGGGCTCAATAAAAAGGCTGCTAGGGTTAAACCCATTAATCACACTCACTATTTTGTGTACTGAACGCAGAGTAAAGCACAGGCAGACAAGGATGTAGGGAGGAGTAAAGAGCGAGACCTTGACAGCAGAGATTGGGGAGTTTTTTTCTGGTGAGAAAGAAAGCCAAAACTTTGCTCTCCTCTCGCTGATAAGAGCAAAGGTTGTGAAGGCAGGGARGAAATCTGATGTGGGGAGACTAGACGTTACACAGGGAGTGTTGCATCTCCCTCTGGAATGTGTGTAAAACCAACAAGGCTTATAAAAGAATGTCAGGAAACTGAACAGTTATCAGTCTGAATAAGAGTYGTCACTTTTTATTCCTGTCAAAACGCTCTTTAGTTGCATCAGATAAAGCAAGCTAAGTTGCAACAGAAATGAATATTTTTAGTGTCTAAGTTTTACAGATCTTTTTTCTCCATTTTGATTCTTTTGTCAGGAGGCCAAAGTGAAAAARCTGATGTCCAAGAAGGAGAAGAGGGAGAAGAAGATGCTGTCYTCTAAGGATGACGAGCACTTCCTGTTGACAGGAGTAAAGCTGGCTGATCGGAAAGGGTGAGTTTGGCACAGTTATTCATTCAATCGTAACAGATATGAAGCTTCAGAAACGCTTAAAAAGTCTTCATAAATAACATATTCACGTCTTCATAAATAACATATTCACGGAAAGAAATCAATTAATTCAGAAATATGTTGCAAAAAAGGTCAAAGCGATAATGTAGGATCTTAAAAGGATGTCTCAGCACTTTAAAATACACTGTTTTAGGGCCACAGGAAAGATGATCAGGGTKTAGTGTTGTCGCAGGACTCAAGATTCAATTTAAATAAAAATACTGTATACTTGATAGAATTTGCGATACTACATGGAAAAGTCTGCTTAGGGCCATCAAGGTTAGTAAAAATTGCTCCAGATGAGCCTTTTTTYCAACTAGTATCTCTGGTTAATTTSACTTAAAAAATCAGAACCAAAATTTTTTTGTTTTCTTTGTGTRTTTTTACACACATGTCTAGTTTCCCTCAGGAGGTGCTGAATTACCCTCTGCACCCCTACTTCTAATGCCCTGCAAAATCACCAATACAACATATAGTAGCGCTGCTTTAAATAAATACATGGATACATTTGACAGGATTACTAATAAGAGCCTCAACTCAAGTTCTGCACCTAAATACAGTTCTTAGTTTCTTGCAGTACTTTTTTTTTTGTTGCCAAATTTGAGTTATTCACTAAATGTTTCTGAAATCTTTTATGGTATTATGCTGCGTAGCATTAATGGTTAATTGTTAGGTTTTGTTACATGTACAGTATGTCGCACTACATCGTCAGTAAAGCAGATGCATCCCATACTTGCAGCCATTACTCGTCGAGTGTGTGAATAAAAACATTTAMACTTTTGACTTGAAATAATGGAGTCACACCCAACTGCTTGTGTTTGTTTAAACATAACCCTGAGCTTCACTTGCCAGTGGTTATCTTTCAGCCCTGCTCAGGAAGTGGAACATGTATGGAGAGGAAAACTCCATTAATCACTTTGCTCTGACAAACAAAAGGGAATTCCTCCATAGTGGCTCACTGTTTGGGGGAACGCTCSGGTGTTGAGATGTCAGATAAACACCAGTTTCTCAGTCCTATTTATGGTTACAATAGCAGCGGTCCACACAGTTCACCGGCCTAATGCGAACAAACTGTTTGAACCTCTCTTCTGCTCTTTGTGTTTCCTCAAAGGCCTCAAAAGAAAGTCAAGGACGGCGAGAAGGAAAAGAAGGACAAGGCGGACAAGGGCCACTGTTTCTGGGACAGCGTCACGATGACGATGAGGCAAATTTCACCGACCAAGAAACTGGAGAAGATGGAGGGCTGGGAGCCGCCCCACGTAGGGAAATTAACTGAGGCCGTAAACGATGAACCCCTTGTGGAGAACCGTCAGAAAGGGGAGTTTGCCGTGTCCCTCCCCGACTCCTTAAGCATTCCAGTGGAAATACCGTCGTGGGGTGGCCTGGGTTTTGAGGAGGACTCCTCTCGCTACGCCAACCTGACGGACTCCAACGATTCAGCAGCCGCGGTGAGGTGGACGTCCCGTGCCAAGGTCAAGCTGGCTGGCATCAGCAGGATGAGCAGAGGGATTGTGTCTGAGAGCGCGTGGGGAGGCTTTAAATAGAAGAACCTCTTTTTCCTGACTCCATTTTCCTGAGCTGATGGTGATTCTTAAAAACATTCGCCTTTTTCTGTCGCGTAGCTCCAGAACAGACTCGTTTTAATGCTTTAGATAATTAAAATGAAACRTAGTCATTAACTGTTTATCAGCATCCCGTTTACCTCGGATGATTGTACCTGGGAATGACATCACTCACTACTTATCTGAATGGAAAGTCCCAAAACCAGCAGGCTAACCAATATTAGCAACACAAGCTAATGTATTTCTCTACTTTCAAACACTGAATGTTTCTAAAACAGGTTAGTAAACACACAGCCAATTACATTTAGGTTTGGGTTTGGTCAGGAATATTTGACCTTTCGAGTCGTTACTCTGATTTTTGAAGTTATTCCTGTTGATTTTTCTGACTTGGAACTCAGAAATTCCAACTTCTGAGTGCAAACGCGCCATGAGACAAGAATGAAATGGGGAAGTGCCTTAAAATGCTATAGCAGTGTCAACCACTAGGTGCTAACTTGAAAACATCTTAGCCTCCCGTAGATTTTCAATGAAAAACATACTGATGTGAGTCAGCGAATTTTTCCACAAGTCATTAAGTTTTTAGTTAGATCCACCGATAAAGCTTCAGAATAGCCAGAGGTGTATAGTAAGTACATTTATTTCATTACAGTACTTAAGTAATTTGTTTGAGGATCTGAAGCATTTTTGAATCGTAGCTTTTACTTTTATTTTGTTAGATTCAAAACATAAAAAATACTTCTTTACTTTATAATTGACCAGCTCGTAAATGCAGCACTCCATTTTTTTTGAGTGTGTGTAAAAGTACTTTTATTTTCCTGATTACTGTGAGCAATTTTATGACTTGTACTGTATATATA